TGCAAAGATAGAGCAGCTATCATAACGTAATTCTAGTGTACTACTCACTTTGAGGGTTATAAAACACATGCTCCCATCGTGCTTAAATCACTTTTAAGGCAATTTCTATTAACATAATTCTCGACTATTTCACCGCGTACCCGTTACCTCCCATTAAATGTGTTTTTATCGCAAATTGAGACCATGGGTATGAGCATCATACACTGAGTCACTGAGATTTGAAAATGATTCCCCAATGCAGAACCAAATGAACTGGAATTAGCATAGGTATATTTACAAGATTCACAGCAGAATATCGCTCCTCTGATGTCAAGGGATGATAACTATTTTCGAGTTCAAATATCTAGTTAAAAGCACATTATTTTTCACTTTAGTCACATAATCAGCCTGCCATTTCCATAAGTATTTATTAATAATAATCTCAAGGTTGCCTTTTCAAATACAGACACTTTTTTTTAATAAGTAATGGGTGTTGGGTAAGATAAAACCCAAACTTGGTCACTATTTTTTCCTGGTGTTACTTTCCATTTGACCTGCTCATACACTCGTGCATGGACATAAACCAAAATAATGAGACTGTACCATATCCAGCGAGAATCAACAGCATATCAAAGAGTGAATTCTAACTCTTTGAGTGGAAAAATTGGAGGTTGTAAAGCAACACAGTTTAGAGCTATTTAGATACAATATCCAGAGAGAGTCAATAGCATATCAAAGAGTGAATTCTAACTCTTTGAGTGGAAATATTTCGAGGTTGTAAAGCAACCCAGTTTAGAGCTATTTAGTTTTACCAAGATCTTCTGCTTTCTTCAGCTTCTCATTTATCATTTCTTGTATGCGAGGATCTGGAGCAGCTGCGGGCAAAGGTGCTAACTGTGGACCGTTCTGAAGTGGCTGTGGTAAAGATGCTCGATCTTTGTTAAATGCATCCAAAAGGAGCATTGACTGCCATTGGATAAAAGAAAACACCTATGAGTTCTAACCATATACACTACAGCCATGTGAATATTAAGTATCGCAATGTCATTAGTTTTTGCCTATGTTGACTAATTAGCAAATTAATTCAATGTCTCCAAGTTCCCTCTGTACCTGTTTGTCTGCTCTCTTAGTTCTGAGTTCTTCAACCTCTTCCAGAGTTCGAATTTTCATATCTGTCTTGCCTTCAAGATCTGCAAAGAAGTTAGATTGTTCAAGAACTTTGCCAACTCAAAAAGATCTTCACCAGATAGAAAATGGCATAAAATAATAGCACTTTACATTTTATTCCTCAACAATTCAATTCGCTCAAATTTACTAGGCTAGATCCGAGTAAGAAACTGAACTATGTAAATTCAGACAAAGTGACAACGAATGTTATCATATCACCACCAATCATCAAGCCTATTTTACTCCTTTAAACTGTTTCATGCTCAAGCAGTATATAGATTAGCAAGCCAACTTGTCATTTTCATATATAATGAAAAAAGTAAAATATAAGCAACCTTATATTGGCAAATAGCCAATCAAGACCACATAAGCATGCTTTCCCGATGCAGGCAGTCAGCTAAGCCTAAAAGAACTTACCATTTTCTTAGAGAGAGAGCCTAAAAGAACTTACCATATACATCAGCTTCTTTCAACTTCTCCTTGATTTGCTTTGACAACTCATCAATCTCCGGTGTCTGCAATTTAGGCGAGTTGACAACACTTGTAACAAGGACTAGTAAACAGAGGAAGGGCAAAGAGGAAGTGCCAGTGACCAATAAAAGAAAACAATGAGCTTGGAGCCCAACAGTTGACTATTACCAGAGTAACTTCAGATACTGATATGGCAATAGCAGCTTTGGCATCCTCCTCGTCAAGCCGTTTAAGGGCTCTAGTTATTTTCCTGTCACACTCAACAATCAGCCTATCAATTGCATCCTCCAAGTCCCTGTNAGTTCAGCAACTAGGCAGGCAGTCGGCCAGCAATATTGTAATAGTTTCTACAATCATTTGACCTAAATAAAATAGAACAGTGATTCATTGAACTGTAAATAAATCAAAGAAAAAGGAGAATGACAGAATGTATGAAAAAACAAAATTGTATAGTTAAACAACCTGCGACAACAGCCAGCCTATCTAGTATGTATCGAGACAAAAAAAATAATCTAGTTTTACTTAATAGCCCATGCATGGCCATGAAAACATGAATATGGAACACTTGCAAAATCATAGTATACACGTCAAAGAAGGATACTCTTTTCTCAGTTGCAAAGAGTGCACCTTAGGGCATGGCCCCATATCCATTTTCTGCACAACAAGAAAGAAATTAAAATAAAAAATCAGTGCACAAAATTTATAACCAACAAGGAAATGCAGAGGAAGGGCGTAGACCTAGAACAAAACTGAACAACTCCACCCTCCAGCCCACCAAGGATTTACTATCGTATATTCTTTTTTTTTTAAATAGTAAGGATGCCATCTGCAGCTGACCCTTTAGTACTGACTAGTTTCACCTTATCCAAAAATTATTGACTAATTTCGCTTGACAAAAATTATTGCATTTAGATTAAATAAAGCTTGGTATCATATGAACAATATTGGATCATTTTCCTTTATAAGCATAGAGCATTACTGATTAAAACTTGTCGTTTCACTAGTTCACATCTTCATACTTGAACGAGTCAATTATGGTGGACAACACTTAACCTATATGGTACCCAACGGGTAAGGACAGCTGCTGTAGATTATGTCATGTTTAGCTGGGCATTGAGATGTAGAGAAAGTAGACCATTTTATCCCTAAACCTTAATGACACTCTTTTATAGGAATGACATGCCATGTTTAAAACCACAAGATTAAAAGGTATTTTTGGTATGTTATACACACCTTAGGTTTAAGACCACAAGATTCAAAAGTCTTTTTTACATTCTTAAACTCCAAGCATAAACAAACTAAGAAAAACAAAGTGCGGAGTCAAACTAATTACATAAAATGAAACGGAAGTAGTATGACTTTATCAACAAAAAATTAAAAAGAAAAAACTCTAGAAGAATTTTCATTTACGATGAAATTTAACAAAATTGACCAGCCGCAAACAGGAGAAGTCTCTAAATATTTTTAAATGCAAATAAAAAGCATCACATCTAGCTGATGGGCTCCCTACCAAATGTGTTTTGAAATATCTAAAAACTAAGGTCTTTTTAAATTTATTATTTTGACCGGCGAAATATCAAAAGTCTAAGGTCTTTCAACCGCAAAGAGCTCCCAAAACCCATGTAATTAAAAACCCCGTGCTAAAAACAAAATAAATAGTACATAATTCTACAAACTCAGCATTTTTTATAAAGTAATAAATTATCAAAGATTGAGCAAAAAACATACGTATACTAGTATACCAAAAAAGTAGAAAACCTACAAAAAAAAATATGATTTTTTACGAACGACACCCGATCTTCTATACATAAGGAAATTTCATGGGCGCACCAAAAAGAAATAAGGGATGAGAAGTTACTCCTCAATTGTACAAAATTCTTCTCTACACCCTTAAGAGCTTTCATATTTCTTTCTCTCGAAAGGACCCACATAAGTGCTAGTGGCGCAATACTCCACTCTCTGCATATTCACCTTTTTCTACCATAATTTCAGCTGAACATTACCTCTTTCATAGTGTCTAGCATCACCCAAAGTATGCCAAGCCATCTAAGAGTTCCCCACCATAACCTTAGAGCTATAGGACGATGTATGATGAGATGGAGGACATCTTCACGACCCCCTTGCACATAAGCACTAGTTGAGATAAGCAACCTTTCTTTTCGTCAGATTCTAAAACATCAAGAGATGGTGGACATAAGCACCAAACCACTTGGACATAAAGCACTAGCTGAGATAAGCAACCTTCCTTTTCCTCACATTTTAAGCCATCAAGACCACCCCATTCTACTGCTAGCCATGACAAAAAAGCACTCTTTACTCAAAACTTTAGAAAACCAAACCGAGCTACATGGAAAGACAACCTCCTCCGTAATGAGAAGTTTTTCATAATAAGACTTGACATAAAATACTCCATTATTCCCCACACCACCGCTCCATACACTACTGTAATGTGCTTTCATTGTGGAGCATACCAACCAGGCTTTGGAACTCTACCACTTCCTACTTGAAAATTCTTCCTAAACCTCAAATTTATAACTACTACTCCATCTTGTAGTCATCGGACCAGATGGATAGGGCATGAAATTCAGTAAATATTTGGGAAAATAATCCTCAAAATGTTATCATACACCACTTCTGCCCCAAAAATTCATCCTCCTCCCATCCCTTACCTTGAATGACGCATCGGCAGTAGACTCTTTCCATCCCTTAAATATTCCTCCAATGTTCGCACACATAAAGAATAGTGACATTTTTAGTCCTCCAACCCCTTCCAAGGTCCCATATTTTTCCACTACTACCTTCCTCAAAAAAGAATATTCTTCAATCCTAAATCTCCATAACCATTTACCTAATACTACCTTGTTGAACACCATTAGAGTCAATTGATTTGTGAACAAGTTAAGCTAGAATTATAATTAGGGGCGGGAATGACAGGATTATCTAGTTGATGTACTTATAATTATAATTATTTGGGGATGGTTGGTTCATTGAACTAAAAATGAACATACGGAATATAATATAATACACTGTTTGGTTTTACACTAAATAAGTTTTTTTTTTTTTTTTATAACTGTGGTGTCCGGGCCAGCTTGCGCGCACCTCGACTAATTCCACGGGATACCTGCCACCTCCCACCAACAACAGGTACCAGGTAACTCTATCCACCAAGGCTTGGATAAATACATTAAATAAGTTTGAATAAACTTTTATCTAATTTTAATCTTGGATTTCTTAAAAGTCTTTGGGAGAAGCGCTTTCGAGAAGCGAAAATGTGTCATTTTGTTATTCTATCCTGGGATAGTTATCCCAAATATAGTGTGGTACAAACAACCTCGGGGCTGCTTTTACCTGAATCAAAAGTTCAACCAAATCGCAGATAAACTAATCCCACATTTTATCTCAAAATTATTATCCTTTATCCTTGTAATCAAACAACCCCTTAGATCTTCCAAGACCACTCCAACACTTAAGGGTAAGAACGATCTCCCATCAAACCATGTGGAAACCTCCCTATCATCAAACCCCATAGATAGTTTCTCTAAAGTCTTTCCAACTTTCACGTGACACTTCCCGGAGCTTGAAACAAGGACATAAAATAAGTGAAAATGGTTGATAATGTGCTCTTAATAAGTACTTCTTTATCTCCTTTGGACAAATATCGTTTCTGTCATCCTACAAGCTTCTTCTCAATCCTTTGTAGTACCGGGTTCCATGTTGTTTGATCCTTATTTGAAGCACCTACTGGCAAGCCAAGGTAGGTAGTGTGATAAGCCCCAGCCTTAGAGTTCAAAATATGTGATAACATTGCAACATACTTCACCTCTCCAACTAGTATGATCTTTTCCTGAAATTGATCTTTAAGGTGTGACACTGCCTGAAACCATGTTAACACATGTTCTTGGTGTTCCAGCTAAACAAACCCAATATAACCTTAGCATAGGGCTTCGTATGTATATTTTTTGAATAAAGCTTTTCAACCAAAACATCTTATTATGAGTTCAATTTAGCAATTATGTAGCAAACTAGTTGTTCCAACTCCAACCTCTTCTTCTTTTTTTCCTTTTTCCAGCCAAAATGCACCAAAAATGCCTAGTCTACGAATGCACGCACAGAGCGGTTAAGGTTATCCTTTCGTGACCTGTAAGTCACACGAACTCAAGGTAACAAAACAGCTGAAATGCAAGGGAAAAGCTGTACATACATTCACTCTCCCATACCCGGCAGTAGTCGAAGAACACCTAATTTTCACACGGTAAGATCTCTATAGAGCAACAATATTTCAATCTATGACTTCAAATTTATTTAATTATCAAAATTAAAAATTAAATGACCTAGGGATTCAAATACAAACAAACAAATGAGGAAACAGGTAGACGCAGAGATAGAGAGAGCGGTGTTATCAGTTACGCACAGTGAGTTGGAAGAGTTCGTGAGGGCAGAGACCGGAGAGAAAGAGACGGCAAACTTCACGGTCATAGTACTTGCGATCGACCTCCGTTACGTCGCCGTTTCGGTTGGCTCCCATTAACACATCCAGTTGCTTCCTTATGGCGTCCATTGATGATGAACGCTTGAAATTCGCCGCTATTCAGGCTTGAGTTGCTCAGTCTATGGAAAGGGTTTTTTCCTTCAGTCTTCCTCTTTGGAAGCTTTTCAGTTCTCCAGTGCGCTTGTTTTATAGGGTTTGGCAAATTGGCTGTTTTGTATAGTTTTTTCCTTTTCGTTTTGGTGAAAAATAGTACTATATTTCCCCTTTCCTGTCATATTAAGGTAGCAGTATAGACTTTTTGTTATAATAACTAGCAAATTAATAATGACACGTTGTAGTTTAAATATTTATTTATATTAGTTTTAGGATACGTATCCAATAACAATGTGTATAATTTTTTAAAAATTATAAGCTCTTGAAAATAAAATTTGAACAAAATAAAAATTCTTGAAAATGGTGAATATTTATCATATTCAGTTGATAAAGTAGCGGATGGCCTAGCTAAGCATGAAACAATCAACATAATTTTAGAGGCTTGGTGAATTTTTATGTGTCCCCTTCTTTTAATATAATTTTGTATCAAAATGATCGTCTACGTACCATATATTACAGACATGTCAATTATATATTAAAAAAAATTAGCAACAGACAAATTATTTTATACATGATTCTATTAGTTATAAGATGAATTTCATAGCTAATTCTTATTTGTTTTTAGTCAGTTTATGTAATAAACTATCTTAGTAATAATATTAGTTTGTTTTTTGCCAAAACTTTGTCCATCTATTTAACGCTATTATGCATTACGGTAATTTAGTTAAAGCTGTAAATTCACAAATATATTATTACAACAATAATTAATATTTCTAACAACCTTGGGGTAGAGAGACTGTTTCTGATAGACCCTCGGCTCCCTCCCTCCAAGAATTTTCCACTTTGCTCTTGGGATAACTCAAACTCACAATTTCTTGGTTGGAAGTGAAGGGTGTTTACCACTAAAGCAACTCAATCTTGTCAATATTTCTAACAATAATGGTAGATATTAGTTCATATCAACACTTGCCTTATATTTTAAGAATAGAAAATAACCGATTCAACAACAAAGCTGCTAAAGAAATATATATCATTTAAATTTTAAAAACAGTAAATATTTCATAAGAAAGGAAAATAAAAGGGCAAAATTGGTGTTGTATGATTAAAGGACAAAGAATATAAAAAAATCACACAAATCGTGGACTTCCCTGGTTGGAAAAAGAAACTTTTCTCCTACTTTTTTGTATTCTTTTTATTGTCTTGATATTTTGTTTTCTTATTAGGAAAAGATATCAAAAATTATATTTGGACAAAACTTATTTGATTTCGAACTCCTAAATAGTAGGAAAGTTTTTTGAGTTTATAATTTATCCAATGTAAAATATATTTTTAAAGGATAGAAAGGGCGAACGACGTTTCGCATGCTTTTAATATAGTACTAGTCTCTACGTTCGTGCATCAGTGATAAAGGTTTGTTTCAAAAAGAAAATCAAATTGCCTTCCATTCCTAAAAACATACAAATAACCAGAGACGAAATTCTATACCTAAATGTAAGTACGAAGAAAAATAATGGCACCATAGAGTCCCGTCAGATCATTGTCGTCTAGAGCTTGAATATTTCGACCAAAATAATTATGAGTTTACCTTTTTGTCATTCTTTTAGAATATATTCTACGGAGGATAATGTACTATTGATTTTTTCCTTCCATCTATAGTTTTTTTTCCCATTACTCTCCTTGAAAGTAGTTTAATTATGTGAACTAGTGAAAATGACTGCTTTTATGAAGACAGAATTTGATGATGTGATTATACATATGATTGTTAACCTTGAGCATTTATTTCTTTTGATATTGACTTTTCTTTGACTATAATTAGACGTATTTTATTGCTCCTCTTTTAAGAATTATTTTGGCTCTGAACAATTCAAGAAACTCTTCAAATCCATCTAAAGATGTGTACAACACTCTATAACAAATATCACTTCAAAAAAGAAATAAAAAAGAAATTAAAGTGACAAGGGACTTCACTGTTGTCTCAATATATAACGGAGTTGTATGAACAAATCTCAGATATTCGCTATTACACCTAAATCATATTATTCTTCCACTATAAAATTATACATATCTGCTAACACTATCCAACTAAGATTAGAAAATAATTCAATAACTTTGACAAAGCAATTAATAAAAATATGATATTTTCTCGTACAAGTCAAAGATGTTTATGATTTTTCCTACAAAATACACACAAACATATACATGTTGAGACCTTGCCATTCGAATCATATCCACTTACCTATGTAGACATAATTACATAAAGTCTACAACATACATACATAGTTATTGTTTATAATCTATAGATAATAAGAAATCAGAAAAAATTATATGAATAATATGTTCTACATCATCTTTGCAACTATCCCAAAATTATTAAATCATTGAACGTATACGGTTTTGCTTCACAAAGGTGTAATTCTTGACCTCATATCAATGCAACAAACATACGGTCTTGACGTCTCCTTGATGAGACATGTTGTTCATTCTTCTTTCTCCTTGACCATAGGTATTCCTCTTCTACAAGAAAAAAAAAAGGACACATCACCACTGAGAGTAAAACATTAAATATTTGTTCCCCAAAAATTAGTAAACTCTATTGAAATTTAAACCGTTAATGATGTTATTCTTAAAAAAAAATTGGTTGATTATGTTGTTGATTGCCGCCTTTAAGATTCGATCCATTGTAAATTTACTCCACCAACCATAATTGATGTCTAAAACCTAGCTTCAAGACCCTAGAAACCTAAATAAGGACAAGAGAAGGAAAAAAGGAAAAAATATTAAGGGAAAGACATTTATCTCAATTACACACAAAGCAATCCATGTTAGGAAAAAAATCAGCAATCAAAAAATAAAGAGATGGGACATAAGCAAAACTAAAACCACACATTAGAAAAGAGTTATGCTAGAAAATAGAAAGATGATTAGGAGCACCAAAGGAAACAAAAAAATTTAATTGTAATACCACATAAACTACTTCTAGGTTTCGTACAAATTTGGAGCGAATCATTGAAGCTTGCACCTTGTCGTAAAATACAAGAGGAATGTTGATACTACCCCTTTTGTATAGTGGTTTAATCACGTGGGTTGTGTCTTAGCTACTTCAACAATAGATAGGACAACTGATTATATTGGTATTAGAATTCCATGTAAAATAAATTATACTTGACTTTAAAGACCTTAATTTTAGGAATTTGATTTGCGATTCTTACTATTTTATCTAAGATTCAATGAAGCTTTATTTAATTTATTAAGGTTTAAAAAGTCAACTAATATTTCAGGAATATTTTTGTCATTCAACATTTAGCGTGAAACATTCGTGCTTTTATAATAATATATAGAACATGAATTTAAAATAATACATGAATTTAAAATAAAAGAACATCATCAAAGCTTACACAAATGATCAATTTTGTCATGTTAGTTAGATAATTATGTATTATAATTTAAACGTATTTAATGTGATGGTATCTTAACGAACACTTCTTTGTGGATAATATTATTGTGTGTGTATGTGATAAGTAGAGATTTTGATTACTTATTTGCACTCTTACTTTAGTTTTAGCTCAAAAATACTTAAAGGTATTCTCGAAAACTGATAAAATATGCTTACTTGCAGGAGCATTGGAAAAAGAGCCAAAACGATGAAATTCAACTCAAGAAGGAGTATTTTTGGACAAGGATTAAAACCAAGCAAAAAGAGCAAAGTGCGGACCGCACAATATTGAGTACGGCCGCGGACTATGAAGGACCTCTGACATAATTCCTTTGCAAAGCGCGGACCGCACAATTATTGTGCGGCCGCAGAAGATGAGGTTCAGAGAGATGGAGTTCTAAGTCCATGAAGAAGTGCGGACCGCACAATTATTGTGCGGCCGCAGAATTCAAGAGTGCGGTTGCACTCAAAAATGTGTGGTCCGCAAAAGTCCCTCCTATCAAGCTCAAATTCAAGAGTGCAGCCGCACTCAGAAATGTGCGGTCCGCAGAATTTGAAGACGTGCGGCCGCAACCCAGAATTGTGCGGCCACAGAAGTCCATCCTGTCAAGCCCAGCTTCAAAGTGCGGACTGCACGTAATCTTGTGCGGCCGCAGAACCTCCGCAGGGACAATTTCGTCCGATAATTTCAGTTGTGTATAAATAGTTCTTTTTGTTAAATTTAGGTTAAGTTTTGAACTCCAGAAAGTAGATAGCCGTTTTTCCCTTACTGCTTTGGAAAACTTTGAATTATTTTATCATTTTAACATTGGATTTTCATCCCTTTATCATCTATTATGAGTTTAATCTTATTTTCTTCCTTAGTTTCTTCATTTTTGCCTATGAGTAGCTAAATCTCTAGCTAGGGTTGTGACCCAACTCTAGTGTGGGTACTTAATAGGTGTTTGATTTAGGGTTTTTTTAAGGTTGAGTGTATGATATTTAGCCTAGTTCTTGCTTGAATTTAGGAATTAATGGTTGCAAACATTGATTCATGCCTAATTGACTTAGTCTCTACTTGAGAAAGAGAGACTAAATCTAGGAAAACTTGGCTAACAAGAAATTAGGGTGAACTCAAGAAATTGATAGCCCTAATTAAAGGGTTAAATCTAGAGATAGTAAGACCCGACTTGAGCATATATCAACGGTTTTGTGAATTACCTATTTGGACTTGAGAAAGCCAAATTGGGCAAAACCACTCTAACTACCGAGAGGTATCGAGTGGGTAATCGCGTGTTGATTACTATATTACACCTCGACCAACGAAACATGCCTTAAAGCCCATAACCCGTTAGGTAAACACCTAGGTGGAAGTCACAGCCCTAGATCTTTTATAAACTTGAAAAACAAAAACACCAAAAATATCATTCTATAGCTTTACATTTACAAACAATAGCATAAATTTTAGAAGTAGAAAGAAACAACCAAGTATGTGGAAGTGCATTTTAGGCACGTCATACACCTAGTCCAATTATATACCTAATCCAATATAAGCTCTCTAAGGAATCGACCCTGACTCAAAGTTGGGTAATTATAATTGCATCGACCGCCTCACAATCCCAATCAGTGGTGTGAATTTGGGCGACACCAATTGTTGGCTCCGTTGCCGGGGAGCTAAAAACGAATTTAGCTATATATTTGGTTTT